AGCGCCACATCACTAGCGGACATTTGAATTTGCCGACTAGAACGGTCGGTTAACTGATGTGACGGTTAATCGGGGGTTGGATAATCGATGCTCTACTGTATCCAATTATAAGTTATTGGTAACAAGTTACTACATTTAACTATAACTCTACAATATTCATTAATTACTGCAAAAGACTGGATGTAATACGATAATTAACACAAACTACAGTGGGTGATCGGTTAATGAACAAATCATGTAACGAACACTTTCATGAAAGATTTTTATGTTCGGACAACGAACACGTGATCAGATAATGAACATCTCACAGAACAAACACAAGAAGAAGTGACGTAAAATAATGAATACCAATTGGTCTTCCTTCCCTTGTCTTTGGACAACAATTCAAAACTTTTTGGAGCATGAGAGACGTTGACATCAACGCTCAACCCGGTATATACTGATCAGATAGTATTCCTCCAAACTTTGAAACTCTCCCTTGTAATTCCAGCCTTTTATTTTTCTGACAGAAACATTTTTTTTTAATAATATTTGTGAGACTGTCAGGCATGCACTCATTAAGTTTTGCGTCAATTATTATTTTTGACAGGTGAGAGTGTGTATAATAGCAAAGGTAGAGAGTGGGCAGATGTCTGTTGTTGCTGGGCAGTATGGCTCGAACAGGTCTACAGTAGGCTGCAGTTCAATTTTATCTAACAATGAGACCCTACGGCTTTGGGGAAATGGATTTTGATGATTTTTGGTGTAGAGGTAGTACACCATGTGAGTGTACTACCTGTAAAATACTAAAGTGCAACACTCAAATATGATTGAGAAAAATGAACTTTATAAATTATGCAACAATTATAAATTTTAATTTATAATTTTTAATTTATAATTGCTGCATAATTTAACAAAACAAAAATCACATCTGAGAAATAAAGAACATTGAACAAAAATCACATCTTGAAAGGCATTCGCTTAGATGTTACCTGAAGAAGAACTTACAAGTTCAAAAACATTTGTAACACTTTGTTTTACAGAGAAGCACACCGGAAACAGGTTCGTGGTACGTTGATTTTGTATTTACTTTAACCCGGTGTAGTAAATTGCCGATTGAATCACATCTGAAAAATAAAGAACACTGAAGAGCTCATAATGGAACCTGAAACGGATAAGATGACAGAAGAATGCCAAGAAACTTGGTGAGATATGTTTTCTTCTGAAAAAGAGAATTAATGTCAATATCTGGTACAGTAGAGCGTCGTTTATCCGAAAGTCGGTTATCTGAAATGTCGATTATCTGAAAGATTCCAGTTGGCAAATTTAAATTTTAACTAGTGCTGTGGCATTGCAATTTTTGGCTATATCTTGGGCTACTCCAATATTTTTTATGTTTGTGTATGTGTTTTAGCTGGCAGCACTGTCACTTTTGTGTGGTGTTTTTCTGAGGACTGTGTGTTTGTTGAATTGAACGTTTTTGATACTAGATAACTTCTAAAATATAAATTTTTTTTGTTTTTATATTTTTCAATATATTTATTTTGTTCATAAAAAATAAAGAAATAATTTTTAACGATACAATAGTCACAATTATTATTCTAGAAAGTTTACATTAGGCTTAACATCAATGAAAATTCAATGTGAAGCGACACGCAACGGAGAAAAATTTCAACATGGGATAGGTTAATGTATTTTTTCGTACATAATTGGTTAGCCGAAAAATAAGTTATCTGAGCAACCCCAGTCCATAATTGATTCGGATAAATGACGCTCTACTGTATTAAACATTTTTTTGAAGAAGTGGGATGATGTCAGAATGACAGTCTTAGAATGGCATCAAAACCAGGTTGAGGTTAATAGGCTTAGAGATCTCTACAATTACAATACTATTAACTACTTCTGAAAAATCTTGAAGAAGAGAGAGAAACAATTGACATTAGACAGATTCTTTAATCTCCACAAATGGAAAAAACACAACTAATAAAAATGCAAGACTGTGTATATATGTATTTTTATTATTACATATAAATAAATGTAGTAAGAAGTATATAATTTTTATTTTTTGGGGTCTCCAGAATGAATAATCAAATTCCCATGAAAACCTATAGTAAATTGATAATCGGTTAACAAACAATTCGGATAGCAAACAAAGTCTTGGAATGGATTATGTTCGTTAACCGATCACCCACTGTATACTTTAATCCAGTAAGAAAAAACAAATTTAATAACTGAACTAATGTTTTTGATCTTAATTAAAGATTATCATCAGGTTTTTAAGATAGAACACAACTTTAAGAAAACAAATGATTGAACAATTTCAATTGTTCAGTTAATTTTCAATTAATTGTTCAGTTAATTAATTTCATTTGACATTTAGGGACATTTCAATTATCAAACCAGTTTTTTAACTGTAAAAAGTGCAACAGAACCCATACTCAGCAGAAAGAATAATTCATCACTAAACACTTTGCTGATGAGAACCATTTTATTTGCTTTTACACTAAACGTTAGTAAGTAAGCAAATAATTGCTTTTCATCAACCAAAGGTGTTTAGTGATAAATTGTTGAAAAGTTCCTTGACTGAAGAATTTTTACTCTTAATTATGGAATAAGTAAATCAATTTGACTGTCAGATTTTGTAGACAAAATTCAATCTCTGATATTATTACTTCATTTTTATATAATAATTATCACTTATTTCATAATGTTGTAATTTTTAATTATTGTTTAGATTGTCATTATGAAATTNATATGTATTTTTATTATTACATATAAATAAACGTAGTAAGAAGTATATAATTTTTATTTTTTGGGGTCTCCAGAATGAATAATCAAATTCCCATGAAAACCTATAGTAAATTGATAATCGGTTAACAAACAATTCGTATAGCAAACAAAGTCTTGGAATGGATTATGTTCGTTAACCGATCACCCACTGTATACTTTAATCCAGTAAGAAAAAACAAATTTAATAACTGAACTAATGTTTTTGATCTTAATTAAAGATTATCATCAGGTTTTTAAGATAGAACACAACTTTAAGAAAACAAATGATTGAACAATTTCAATTGTTCAGTTAATTTTCAATTAATTGTTCAGTTAATTAATTTCATTTGACATTTAGGGACATTTCAATTATCAAACCAGTTTTTTAACTGTAAAAAGTGCAACAGAACCCATACTCAGCAGAAAGAATAATTCATCACTAAACACTTTGCTGATGAGAACCATTTTATTTGCTTTTACACTAAACGTTAGTAAGTAAGCAAATAATTGCTTTTCATCAACCAAAGGTGTTTAGTGATAAATTGTTGAAAAGTTCCTTGACTGAAGAATTTTTACTCTTAATTATGGAATAAGTAAATCAATTTGACTGTCAGATTTTGTAGACAAAATTCAATCTCTGATATTATTACTTCATTTTTATATAATAATTATCACTTATTTCATAATGTTGTAATTTTTAATTATTGTTTAGATTGTCATTATGAAATTGATGAAGAATCTGGCAGCATGGTTTCACCCATGTATAAAGATATACATCGTTCACATATTGTTATTTGTACTTGGGAATTTAAAAAATTCAAGCATGTTGAGTTAAAACGTTTAGTAATTTTTGATGAATTTGTTCTGAAAAACAGTAGTTTGGTAGTGAAAGGTAGTGAAGCACAAGATGGTATATACACAGGTAAGAACAAGTTCTAATCACAATAAATGTTAATCTAAAATTTCATACTTTATTTTAAGGTTGTTTTACATAAAATAGTTATAAGTTTATTTAACTTTTTCTCAACTATACATAGTATTTTAGTAAATGTTGAAAAGATAATGGAAAAGAAATTATAAAAATATTAATTATTTGAACTTCAGTTAAAAAATTTTTATGCCAGAAAAAGTGAATTTTATTTTTCAATGGTTTTCTTTTCTTAACAGAAATTATATAAATTTTAATAATGTGCAATAAAAAAAAATGGTTTAAAAATGGAAATAAAATTAATTCATATACTGTGTGACAGTGCCAAAGGGCCCCCTATGCTTCGGCACCATGGAATCAAAGGGTCAACATCGCATCGGCGAAGACCACAATGACAAATTCGTTAGGACTCTCACCACTCGCGTGTACCTGCAAATGTAAGGTATGTGCGAGTGGGTGCGTCTGTGGAAGCTTAGGGTTGGAATGGAGACAGAGGGAGATACCTGGAAGAAGTACTTTTCACTCCCAAAGGCTATTCATTTAACAAATACCCATTTATTCAGAGAGGCTATTACAGGATTTATGGCTGAGGAGCTAGCTTTCTTGCTAACTTGAATAAATGTCAAGGGGGAAGCTTATCATATCAGGAGAGAGAGCTTACAAAACTTCTGCACGATGACAGTACCTGGAGTTCAAGTAGATCCCTGATGTAGGTTCGTCCTTAGGGCCAAAGAGATTCAGAGGTTAGTTGAGTTTAGGTGCTTGTTTAAGTTTGGTTAAGTTCAGGTGCTGAGAAAGGGTTAAGAATTGGTGAAGGTGGGACACACACATCTGCACATAAAAGTTTACCCTCACTGACAGGAAAATGCCCCTGTCGTCATTGTCCCCTTCTGTTTATAAGGGGGTCTCTTATGGGTTTTTCCCATGACTCTACCCGGAGGTTTTGTTCTTCAGGCCCAATGATCAAGTTTCACTCATTACTTCTGATTGACGCATATGAGGTGTCACTTTAAACAAGGAAGTAAGTCTGTGGAAAACATTTAAATTGCATTTGTTTATTTAAATTAATTAAAAACCTACTAATGTGAGATAGGAATAAGGACTTATCACACCAGTGATAATAAGCACAAACACCCAGGTATCAATGGAATACATTTAATAAAATGAGAAGGGGTGTACATTAAAAAACGATTAAATTAACAATTGACATGAAATAACCAAAATGCATTCCGGACTGAAGAGGGACTATCGGAATAGTCCCTCTTCAGTTGGTATATATATATATAAAGGTGAGATACTTAAAATTATACAAGACAAAGAAACCATTATAAAGGTATGAACATTGAACAATAAATGAGTGTAGAGAAGATAGGCTTCATAATGTTACATAGTAGCTTGACATAAGAGTTACTATTATAAACAGTATTAAAATTAGCAAGAATAATAAGGTAATTGTTTTACAAAATAAGTTATATCTACATACCATAACAGTAGTAAGATGGAGTTTGAAGGTGGCATTGCTACAAGATGCAGAGCAGTTATGAGGGAGGTGTGTTACAGGCAACATCAGGAGAACAAGTGGTGACTAACATCTTAATGGACAACCTTCATTACATCACTTCTTAACCAGATGTTAGTATAGATTTCATCATTTAATAGATGAGAGTCTGTACTCAAATATCGACTGGGATCTAGGCAAATTATTCTATAAATTAAATTAATATAAATTGCTTTTTGCCCTTGGTTTAATTAATTTAATTAAACCAAGGGCAATTTCTTTATATTTTGCATTTGTTTATTTTTATATTTTTTTTCATAAATAATTATATACACTTTACATCAGTAATCGTAAACAAAAACGATACTGTGATGATGAATTTAGAAAGTAGCAGAAAATATAGATAAAAATATTAAGTTTGATATTGAAGAAGATAGAGGAAAAATTAAATTTTTGGATATCACAATGAACGATATAAACCAAATAGAATGATATATATAACTTGAAAAACTTGTAATATTAAAAAAACAATAGATTTTTGCTGAAACTGCCTGATGAAAACTAAAAAGAATGCATTATGTTATGGATTTAAGGAAAATTTTTAATAGAACTACATACAAAAAAGATATAATGCAAGGAGTAACAAAAGTTAATAAAAAGTATTTATTAAATAATTACCCAAGCCAAATATTGAAGAAATGGTACAATCACTTCCTCCTGTGAAGTTATGAATGAAAATACCATTAGCTGATGAGGGTGAATACAGTGAACAAGGACCTTCACACAGTGGATGATGGGGGGAAAAATATTTATTTATGCGTAAAAGGTATAGATTCTAATAGATTCCAACTAAAACGGTATAACAGGTGGTCACCCAAAAAAATCCGAAATGGCAGGACAATTACACAAAGTATACAAAAGAGCCAAGCTCGGATAATACAACAAGAGTTTCCTTATAACTAATCCTTAAAAACTAATTTATGCTAAGGGGAAAAAGAGATCAAAGGTTATAGTGTTAAAATATGGAGTGCAAAGAACCCCTGAATGGACAACAAAAAAAAATACAGGAAAACACAGGATTTATTCGTGGACAAAATTTATATACAAGCGCCCACTATAATTTTATGGGGTAATAGAAATTGAGTACACAGAATTCCTACTCGACCTCACTCGCGTACAACGGGAGACAAAAGTCTTATGCACGTGGTGTTACAATCGAATGAAGGTTCGCGACAATAGAATACAATTACTAACTTAATTATTATGGTTATAACTACCTTACGAACTAAGATTAAACTATGGAAAGACGATAGTAAGCACAGATAGGAAGACGTATAGAAAAGTTAAAAAAAAAAAGGGTACCCAGGATATTCGGATGTGATATCCTTTTGTGGGAGGGGGAAACTATAATTCAGCCTGAAGACGCAAACGATTCTTGATTCGAACTTTCTCCGTAATTTTCTCGATGGATCGATCATCCGCTGTCCTTTTCCTCTCCAAAATGAATCCTGTCCCAGATGCCCGTCTGCTCACTTCCTCGTCTACTTCGAGAGTGACCCTTTTCTCTCCCTCTCTGCCTCAGGGCCAATCCTCCCTCTCTGGCCTCGTTCTCGTCGATGTCCCCCCCCAACAAACAGGAAGTGAAGAGTGGAAAGACAAAGAAGTGAGAAGACAAAGAACACAAGAAAGAATTGTTATTACTAGACTTATGATTATCGCGTATACAATAATATGGCATTATGCCACAATAGACCACATGGCTGATAGAAAAGAATAGAATACCCAGGATGTATGAACCTTATTTAGATGTTGTGAGGGGCCATGTGGAACTTCATTAGACTGACTTTGAACTTCTCTCTTCCTTTTTTGTATATCCAAGATTTACTATGCTGTCATTCCAATAAGTTCATAAACTTTTATTACTCCAGTTTAGTTTAAACTTGTCTCTTAGATACTTGACAACAGTAAGCACTATTAGACATAAAAAACTGGCGCACAAACAGGAAATATGTACTAAAACAACCACTTCATACCTAAGTGATAATTCCAGCAAGTGAACTACAAAAAAATTTTAATGTTCAAATGTTTTCGGCTGTCTTTCAGAGACCCTTGTCAGGAAAGCATAGAATAGAAAAATACAGTAGAGAGTCGATTATCTGAAAGTCAATCATCCGAAACGTCAATCATTCGAAAGAATTTTAGTCGGCAAATTTAAATTTTTGACAGTGCTGTGGCACTGCAATCTTTGGCTATGTCTTGGGCTACTCAAATATTTTATGTTTTTAATACTAAATTAACTTCTGAAGTATAATTTTTTATTGTTTTTATATTTTTCAATATATTTATTTTGTTCGTACAAAATAAAAAAATAATTTTTAACGATACAATAGTCTTCGTTAGGCTTAACATCGACGAAAATTCAACGTGAAGCGTCACGCAATGGAGAAAATGTCAAGATGGGATAAATAAATATATTTTTTCGTACATAATCGGTTATCTGAAACATCGATCTTCCAAACAACCCGAGTCCCCAATTGATTCGGATAATCGACACTCTACTGTAGTTCTATCTTTTTAACAGTTTTCCTTCAAATTCTTCCCTTTTCTACTTTGATGGCCAAACTTACATCCAAAAATATGCGGTATGTAGATGATATAACCACATCTATTTACCACAAACCCACATACATTACCCTCTTTATACCTACTAACTCAGCAGACCGTTGGCCTTTTAAGGTAGCGGCTTTCCGGGCCCAAGTTGCTAGGGCTTCCTCCCATTCCTCGGACACTTCTGATACACACAATGAACTGAAACGCGTCAAGTTTATAGCATCTGCACATGGGTACCACCAGTCCTTAATAAACAGGCTCGCTGCCAACCCATCTATCTATGATAACTACCACCGACATGAGGCTTAATGATGCAGAGCACAAGCGGGTGGTTATAACTTACGAACAGTCCCTCCAACAAATTTATAATAGAATTGCTAAGGATTTAAACTTGTGCTTAACTTATAGGAGAAAACAGAACAATTTTTGAATCTTACCTAATGCGAAAGACAAGTCTGAGGACAAGAAAGCACCAGGAGTGTACCACATTCCATTGCAAGACAATTGTTTCAATAGGCGTATAACATACATCAGATCCACGTATCGATCTCTAGAGGCTAGAATACAAGACCACAAGTATGATGTATCCAAGGGGAAGTATAGTACTTCACTAGCCCAGTATGCTACCGAACCTGGAGTTTCTCCTTGTTGGGATGAAGCTACGCTTTTACACAGGGTGTTTGACTGACACAACTTATGTTTGTTGGAGGCTATTGAAATTTATATAGCGGGTATGAAGGGAGGTTGCATTAACTCCGACTATATTCCAGTTCCACAATCGTGGAAGTATTATTTACAAAGCCACAAAGCATAACTATGATTTTTTAGTATGAAGTTAGCTTTAGGCGATGTAAAGGAAACAATCTTTTTCCCTATCACACATTGTTTATACATTAAAACATCGGGCTAACTTTTAACATTGAATATATTATTACCACCATATATATTATTTTATATATTAACACCATATATATTATTATTGTATTTATTTATAACTTTATTTATAAATATTTTAATTATATGTAATACATAATGATCTTTGTATTTAACATTGTTTAAATATTAAAAATCAGAACACAGCTATGTTCGAAAACTGTTAAAAAGATAAAACTGTTTTTCTATTCTATGCAAATTTTTCCTGACTAGGGCCTCTGAAAGACAGCCGAAAACGTTTCAACATTAAAATTTTTTTGTTGTTCATTTGCTGGAATTATCGCTTAGGTGTGAAGTGGTTGTTTTAGTAAGCACTATTTTCTTTGTCCTTACTCCATGTGTCCTACACTCCTCACAAGTGCCCTCAGGTAACATTGCTTTCATTGTTCTTGTGATTCTATAAAGTGGCACTCACCACCCAGGAAAATTGATTAAGGTTAGAAGGTTCTAGAAGTATGAAAGAACAAAGAAAAAAAGGAGAAATGCTAAAAAGTACAAACTAAACTAAAATTATACAATAGCATTCAACCACTTCACAGGTATGATGTAAAAAATATTAAACAGGAAATAGCCTACATAAAATTACCTTAAAAAATATTTTTGATAAAATGCCAGAATGTTTTTGCATTTTTTGACATTTCAAGATGCTCTAAGTCCAAAAATGAAAAATCTTAGGGGGTCATTTTTTTGGCTGATCACTATACTTCCCCCTGTTATATATAATTGCTGGGAAAGTAAAAATGTGAATAAAATTTTTTTAGTTTGCCTCTCTCTCTTACTGTTAATCTGTCCATATTTTGCCTTCAACTATTATGATAACCCTAATTTAAAGGAATCAAAATTTTTCACTCTACTAAGAATTTTCTTTAATATTTATGAATTTTATGAACTAAATATTTTGATAATTAAATACAAAATGAGAAAAGTGTTTAAAGAGTTATTTTAGATCAAATATCTGGCAAACATAGCATTGTAAATATTAAAGCGAATTTTTACTCTCCTGGCTGTTATATATGACACAGGGAAAGTATGGCAATCTGTCAAAAAATGACCCCTCAAGATTTTTTATTTTTTTTGGACTTAGGACACTGAAATGTAGAGAAATGCAAAAAGTTCAGAAATAATTTGTATATGTATGGATGTTAGTGTGTGTGTGTGTGGGGGAGCACAATTTTATTCATTCTGTTTGAAGCTTAATAAATAACTCCTGTGATTTTTGTTGAAAATTTCTGAAATTTAGCAGGGAGGTTTGTTTATTAGGGGATGGATGCTATTAAATTTTGGTGGTTAAAGATCGGGGGTGTGGAGATAATGGGGTTGTGTGTGTATCCAGTAGGATTGGACTTAATGACAACTTGTTATTAGTATTTACAATTTTTTATAAAATTCATCCCTTCCCTCAAAATTAAGCTTTTTGCATTTTATAATAATTACAAATATAAAAACTTTTTTAATAACATATGATAACAGATGGCGCCACCAAAATTTTAAATGTTACAAGGAATGTTGAACAACCTGTTGCTGGTTTATTTGTATCTAGAAAATGTAAATAATTTTCCTCAATTTAAAATATATTATTATAAATAAACAATTGAACAGTTAAAAAATAAAATAATTAAAATATTTTAATTATCAATGTGTTACAGGAAATAAAAGTCCTCCAAATATTGTTGCAATTGGAAACACAACATTTGAATTTCATTTGAATACTTCAATAAGTGGAGAAAAGTTTGCATTCACATTCTCAGTTAAAGGTAATATTTTATTTATATATAAATATAAATATTTATATTTAAATATTTGAACAATTTGTTATGGAGTGAATGAAGATGAATAATCATTGTTAAGAGCAAAACGATATTTATTAAATAAATTTGAATAAAAAAATAAGCAGGCATTTAAAACAAAATAAAAGTTTCATGAAAGGAAATAGAAAAACAAATATTTGAAGTTCATTTGGTAGAAAGTTTTTAGAAAAATATACAGAGAAATTTCATCCATCATTAAAACTAAGATAGCTTACAGTAGGCCAAGATCTGTTTACAACTTACTCCACAACGGAAAAGACACAATTGACTTGAAACACGCACCGGGGGTATATGCTGTCCTGCTTTGGGATGACAGATTTAATAGCTGTTTGGTTTATGTGGGCTCAACCAAACACTTCCGTCATAAATGGCTTCGTGAGCACAAATATGACATTGACAATAAAAAACACATCATCGCCCTCTCAACTGTTGCCACGGAACCAGGAATCACAGCTGACCTACAAAATGCTCGTCTGATCAGGCTCTCACACTGTACGGATCAGCTCAGAACCATGGAGACTCTCAAAATATACAAAGCAGGATTACATAACATGTGCATCAATTCTAGGGATGCAGTCAGTATATCTAACTCATGGAAACTTTGTTATGAGGGAACTTACCCACATAACTGATTTTGAATTGTGTATATTTCACCTGCATTTACCGTTTTGCAAACATGATGTTACACGTGCTTAACCGTCATTTCAGCATGAGCGTAATGTTCTATTTTTATTCTTAACTTTGCTTTTCTAAATTTTGAATTGCATTTGTTTCATTTTATTGTTCCATTCCATGCACATTTGAATTCCTCATAACCATAACCTGATGAAGACCCAGATGGGGTTGAAAATGTTTGATGTTTTGTAAACATATATCACTGGAGTTACAAAGATTTTTTGTGTAATGAATTAAAACAAATAGTTTCATGAGTATTCTTCTCCAAAAATTTTTAAATTTTTTTTTGAAGTTATGCCATGGCTATAGTGGAAGTCCATTTTACTTCTTTCCCCCCTCAAGTGGTTTCCACTGTAGACAACGGAATATCATATACTATACTTGAGACACATCACATGAATGACCTCTGAAGAGTGATGGCAACCAGTGGGACAAAATCTTCAACTCATAAGTGTGTGACAATCACTGTTGTAGTAATTCATTACTAAATGTCTTTTGGTGCTAAGAAACATTTATTTGCTTATGCACTGATGTTTTCAGCCTAATGCTTAGGTCATCTTCAGGTAACTGATTTTTGGAACATCAATTACAAAATTTTTCAAAATAGAACATTTTGTTACTGATCCAAATTAGTCTAAATTAATGATTTAAGATCTAGGTATAACATTTTTTCTGCTACAGATAGCATATCATGACTGAAAACTACTCTGGTAAATAAATACCAATTTTACTGAGAGTCTGTCCTTGAGTTTTATTCGTTGTCAAATGCCAGAATGATGAAAAATTGAAGTAGTTTAATTTTAGAAAGAAAAGTGCCATTGCTTGGAGTTAATGGTATTTGAGGAAATGTGTGAATGGTTCCATGGTGGTCACCCATCATGATTTTGATGTTAATTGTATTGTTAAACATACCACTTATAACTAATTTTGTTCCATTAACCAACCCTCTTTTCTGTTGAGATTCCTGATCATCGTGACTTCAGCTCTGATTTTCAATGTTAACTTATGTGGCAGAAGTTGTGCAGTCGTTATGTTCATCTCAGTCGTGTATAGAAATTCTGTTGGGTATCTCGTACTCTCGTTCTGGTCATCAGAAACTATGCTGTCTAAGCTCAGATACGTTTTCTTTTTTCCAGACAAGGCAGCAACAGTTTTATCATTTGTCTGCACAGTATGAATTGTTTGGACACAAAATGACTCAATACCTCATTTCATTGAGTGTTAATGAGTTGTCTGAGCTAAAAATTTCTTCATCTTGATAACCTGACACAGCATTATTTGTGATAATTTGATGTACAGAGTCTCATTTAAATTAATTTTTTTATTTCTAATACATAATAGAAATGCATTGAACTTAGTCTTACCTGCATCTCTGTGCATATTTTGAGTAAGATTCATTTGTTGGAACTGTGGTTACAAATGTGAATTTTTCAGTGTTTGACAATGGTGGCTCTTGCTAAATGAGAGTCAACTGGTAAAACTTTTCAGAAGTCTGATCCAAATATCATAATCATACCTCTGGAACAAATTTGATTTTTTGATATCTTTAAGCAGCTGATCAAGACATTGCAGAAGAATTGCTGGAATGATTGAAGCCTGATTAAAAATGAATACTTTTGTCAATAAAAGNTCTCTTTGTATTCACAATATCTACCTACCTTTGTAAGGCAGACCGATAATGGAATGAATTACGAATTGTTATTAAAAGAAAATTTCATTCAAAGTGCCATTGTACAGTCCTCATTTGTTTTTGTTTTCTTACACCCATAATCAATATATTCCGATATATCTGATTATTATACATTGGCGTCCGCGACAGGATCAGAGAAGTTGTATTTCTTTGTAATTGGGTGACTCCTTGTAAGAGGACTATATATATTTTTTTTGAATTGTGAAAATTTGTCGAGGCATTAGATTGTACGTACTCCAGTTTTTTTTTTCTCGTAAATTGTGCCTATTACCTTAAGGATCGTATAAAGTAGTGTGAAAGTAAGATGGAAGAACAAGTCACCAGTGGTTCACAAGTATCAGGAGCGGTAGACGTTGGAAACGTACCTATTGTCACTGGATTCATGGGTATGATTCCATGTTTTTCAAGTCTGCCTGGTGACATGCTAGACGTCGGCCGGTTTTTCCAGACTGTGGAAAATGTAGCCTCACTAGCAAGTTGGGACGAAAAGGTGAAGATTTCAGTGATGCAAGCCCGTCTCAAAGGTGAGCCCTTGTCTGTTTTCTTTGATTTAAGGGACCAAGGGATTGAGGGATATGAAAACATAAAGAAGGAGCTTGTAAAGTGCTTTGGGCACAAAGAAAGGGAAAGGAATCATTTGGATCAAGTACTAAAAATATCCCAGAAGAAGGGAGAAAGGGTTTGCGAGTATGGTAGACGACTTAAAACTATGTTTTCGCACGCTGTAACACGAAATCCCAATTTGGCTACGATAAGAGATAACACGGTCAAGGAGTGCTTTATGGAAGGGTTGGTACCTGAAATTCGGAAACAGGTCATGCAGGGTCGGCCGAGAACTTTGGATGAGGCAATAGTTAAAGCCGAGGAAGAAGAAGAAATAGAAGATGCATGTAACAAGCGGGGAGTTAGTAAAATATGTATTAGTCTGGAACAGGAGGTATGTCCTAATGAGAAGCGTGACAAATTAGATGTCCGGGTAACTGAACTAGAGGCTCAAATTAAGAAACTGAGCGACTCTATGTCTTCTGTGGTTGATTATGTAAAGGCGGAGAGACGTTCCGAGAGGAACTCGAAGGAAGATCGGAGGTGTTACTCATGCGGTGAGAAGGGTCACCTTTCCCGACAATGCAGAAAGAGGGAACGTTTAAACTAGTTGGCGATCATTTGGAAGGTCAGGCTAATGACCTGCTGGCTAGTTTGGAACTGACCAAGAATGTGCAATTGAATATGAGAGGGCTACCGATCATTATTGGCAGATTAGTAAGACAGAGAGTTAGTGGGTTGATAGATACGGGAGCCGAGAGGACAGTCGTTAGGAGTGAACTTGCTGAGTGGGCAAAATATGAAAACCCTGGTTGGATTGTTCGAGACAATTCGTGCATTAGCGGAATGTCAGGGGCAATAATTGAGAGTGACGAAGCCCTGGCAGTAAGGTGTGGGTTTTGTGATGAGAACACGATTGAAATGAGGATTCCTAGCGTTAAATTCCCGGCAGGTGCCAATTATGACCTCATATTAGGGATGGATGTTATTAGCCAGTATCCAGAAATTTTAACCGAGGTGAGACCAGTAATTGAGACCAGTAGGACAGGAAGTAAGGAGCTTTTCGTAAACATTAATAATAAGAGTGAATTTAAGGCTAATGCTTGGAAATTAGATCACCTTGGTGATAGAATAAAAGGAAGAGTAACTGAGGTGCTGGGGAAATATCCCGACGCTATTGCTGAAGAAATAACTGATATATCCGGCACAAATAATTATGTGCATTCGGTTAAATTAACCTCAGAATGCCCGGTGAATGTAAAGCAGTACCGCATCCCCTGCAACTACTTACCTGCTCTTAAAAAAAAAATCAGCGAACTTGTGAAGGCCGGTATATGTGAGGAAAGTACCTCAGCATGGAATTCGCCTATACACGTTGTCCCCAAGGACTCAGGCGAAATCCGCATCACCCTTGACTTACGAAAAATCAATGAAATCACGGAGCCTCAAGTGTTCCCAATGGCCAGAATAGATGATATCCTATCACAATTGGAGGGAAATAAATTCTTTTCTGTTCTGGACCTGAAAGCAGGATATTTCCAAATACCTTTAGACCCCAAGGTTAGACATGTCTTTGCCTTTTCAACACCTTGGGGAAAATATCAACTTTGCCGTATGCCCCAAGGTGGCAAAAATAGTGGACGTTTTTTTCAATTTGTGATGACAAAGACCCTTGCAAGGTTTGTGGGAAATAGCTGTTTCGTCTTTCAGGACGACATAGTGCTATTTTCAAAGAATTTAGAAGACCACCTAGAATTACTCGAACAGATGGTTAGTACTCTGAGAAATGAGGGATTAAAGGTAAACCCAAAGAAATGCCAAATTTTGGCGAAGGAAGTTAAGTACTTGGGACACATAATAAATGAAAAGGGTGTGACTCCAGACCCTGCAAATATTGATTCAATTAAGAACATTAAACCACCGGGCAGCGCTAGGGAAGTCCGGAGTTTCCTCGGTGTTGTGGGATTTTTCCGTAGTTTTATCCCTTCATTTTCAGAAATTGCTAATCCATTAACGGAATTGACCAAGAAGAATAAAA